AATTCCCTCACCGTGCGGTCTCATCCAGGGGAACATGAGACTGGGCGACGAGCTCTGCCCGAGGTGCCCTTGGCCAACATCGGGCGCGGCGCCGATGGCGGAGTTGACGGAAGACGCGGACGAGGAAGAAGAAGAAGAAGAGGAAGATTTACAATCCGCGTAGTGCCCCGCGTCCTGCTGCGCGCCCGCGTAGATGGCTTGGCGAGGCAAAGCCTCGTAGCCGTAGAACTTGGCGGAGTCGCCCGCGGCTCCGTGGCAAGCGAGGGCGCACGGGGCGTTGCCCTGGTAGGCAGCGTTGGAGATGGGCGAGGCCGAAGGGTGGTGGAAGAAATCCTGGACGTGGTGGGCAGGGGGCTGGAAGGACGGGGCGGCCCCCGCGGGGCCGTAGAGGACGGCGGGGCTGCGGCTCACGGCCTGCGGGAAGCGGCAATCGTAGAACGGGGCGGCGTCCAGGGAATCGCCGCCTTTGTACTTGGGGAAGAGCGGATTGACGAAGTACGAGCTCATGGCGGGCTGGGCATGCACGGAGCCGGGCGGCGGCGGGGAAAGGGTTAAGTGGGGTTTGGGGGGGTGGAGGGGAGGGTGGGGAGGGGGGAAAAGGGGAAAAAAGGGGAAAAAAGGGGAAAAAAGGGAAAAAAATGGGGGAAAATGGGCTGAAAAAGGGGAAAAAATTGACTAAAAAGGGGCTGAAAAAGGAGAAAAAAAGGGGTTAAAAAGGGGAAAAATGGACTAAAAAGGGGGAAAAACGGGTCAAAAATGGGGAAAAAAGGGGTTAAAAAGGGGAAAAAAAGGGGGGAAAATTGACTAAAAAGGGGCTGGAAAAGGGGAAAAAAGGGTCAAAAATGGGGAAAAATGGACTAAAAAAGGGGGGAAAAGGGGAAAAATGGGGAAAACAGGGGTTGAAAAAGGGGAAAAAGGAGGAAAAAAATGGATTAAAAAGGGATTAAAAATGGGGAAAAGGGGTTAAAAATGGGGGGAAAAGGGGAAAAAGGGGTAAAAAGGGATGAAAAGGGGAAAAAAGGGATTGAAAAGGGAAAAAAGGATTAAAAAGGGGGGGAAAAGGATTGAAAAAGGGGGAACAAGGGGGAACAAGGGGGAAAAGGAATTTTTAGAAAGGGGGGGAAAGGATTAAAAAGGGGGGGAAAAGGGAAAAAAGGATTAAAATGGGGGGAAAGGGATTTCAAAAGGGGGAAAAAAGAGGGAAAAAAGGATTTTTAAAAGGGGTGAAAAAAGGACTAAAAAGGGGGGGAAAGGAGAAAAAAAAGGAGAAAAAGGTGAAAAAAGGGGAAAAAGGGAGGAAAAAAGGGTGAAAAAAAGACCAAAAAAGGGAGAAAAAGTTGGAAGAGCGGACTATAAAAGGGAGAAAAATGGGGGGAAATAAGGGGGGGAAATGCAGGAAAAGAAGAGAAAAAGAGGAAAAAAAAGGGGGGGAAAAGGGAGAAAAAAGGATCTGAAAAAGGAGAAAATAAGGGAGAAAAATGGGGGGGAAAAGGACAAAAAAGGGGGGAAATAAAGGAGAAAAGAAAGGAGAAAAATGGGAAAATAAGGGACAAAATAAAGGGGGAAAAGGGGATAAAAAAGAGGGGAAATAATAAAAATAAAGGAGTGAGGTGGGGGAAAAATACGGGGAAAATGGGGGGAAGGGGAGAAAGAGAAAAAAAATTAAAAGTAAAGGGGAAAGTGGTGAAAAAAAATTGAAAAAGGGGAGAAATGGGAGGAAAAAAGGGGGAAAAGGGGGACGGCAAAAAGTTTAAAAATAAGAGGGAGAAAAAGGTAAAATATTCAGGAAAATAAAGGGGAGAAAAGAAGGGGAAGGGGGGAAATAGGAAAAATTAAAAAAAAAATTAAAAACAAACCGGGGGGAAAAAAAAGAAAAAAAAATTTAAAGGGGGGAAGGGGGAGAGGAAATGGGGAAAAGTTGAACAAAATAAAGAGGGGAAAAAAAAATTGGAAATATCAAAGGGAGAAAAGGGCGAGAACGGCAAAAAGTGCGCGGGGAAAGGGTTAAAAGTGGCCGGGAAAAGTCCGGCTCAGTTCGGGAAAAGATTCCGCTTTAATGGTGGGAAAAATCGGATTTAATGCTGGGAAAAACCAGGGCTTAACTCCGGAAAAAAATTCCGCTTCAACAGTGAGAAAAAAGCGCGGTTCGATTCTGAAACAAGCCGGGCTTTAAATCTTAAAAAAAAAAAAAAAAAAAAAAAAAAAAAAAAAAAAAAAAAAAGGAAAAAAAAAAAAAAAAAAAACCAGCGAGGTTTGCGCTTCGGAAAAGGAGCAGAGCTCGAGCGAGGGAAAAAAAAAAAAAATTTAAAATCAAAATAAAAATTCCGGTGTGACGGTGAAAAAAAAAAAAAAACAAAAAAACGCGGGTTGGTTGTTTTTTAAAAATCTGCTTTAATTCTTCGAAAAGGAAAACAATTAAATTAATAAAAAAATAAAAATAGATATATTAGCAGCTTTGATCTTGACAAAAAACCAAAACAACAACAACAAAAAAACCAACGAACCCCCAGCGCTTTGGCTGCGAAAGAAACTCCTTAATCCTAAAAAAAAAAAAAATTAAAAAAA